CACCTCTACTGCACAGCAGGATACTTTTTTGGGGGGATATATTCACGTATATGATAAAGCAAAAACATAAACAGAGGTCAATCTGCACATTTTCAGATACAATGGTTGCAGCAGTTAGATCTTGAAGCGGCATATTTGGACAAAAACTGGAGAAGTAATCTAGAGAATCTAATTCTAAGTCAGCTTTGTTCATCTCTTTGTGATATTTATTAAGATATTTCTTATTCAAGGATATTAATTATGAAATGCCTTGACTTTTATACAATTAATGTTAGTAGAAATGCTAAAAAAAAACGGTGTAACTAAATATTATACAGAGTTATAGGAATTTATACTGTATCACAAGCTTCTGCTTGCATTTCATTGTGCAAAATGTGAATTTAATGTAAGCGAATAGTTATGTCCGAAAGGCTTAACGTCTCATTTCTTCCAGAGCAGGACCCTCGCCCTCACTGTTACATATAGTAAAATAATTTTGTTACTTTGCTTGTTATGTGGGCCAAATCTTGTAAATTAAAAAGTAAACCAATGAAAATTGCTGCTTTAATCTCTTATTATTTGAATAATCACTGTAACTAGCTACAATCCTGGCTGTGTAACAAGTCTAATATCAGTGTGAGGCCTCAGGTTGCACATGTGATGTTGCTCATGATGGTACTCAGTTTTATTCAGGGGGCTTGTGTGTATGTCCAGAGTTGAAAAATTAGAGGGAACATTGGTAGTAATGGTTTGTATTTCTAACAGAGACCGTACCGCCGTTGCGATTTCCGGAACAGTGGTCCATTTTTGATGACGAAAAGGACTATATCCGTCTTTTAATAAGCTCTGAGCTGAAAACCCAGCATAACCTTGCCAGTACTGCCCGTTCTTTTACAACGGATGAGGAGTTTTTTTTGTTTTTTTTTTAACTTTTTTTTTATCTCTGCCTGCCGATTGACCAAAACAGCACCCAGTTCCATCCTGGCCAGACGCCCTGTAAAAGCTGCGTTAGTGCCCCAAAAGGGCGGACATAAGTTCCAGACCCGCTGGGAAGAAGCCCCCCCCACCATTACAGCCGCTCACAATGGAGACAGACTCAAATCCATCCTCTCCCCTCCCATGGGACAACCACAAGTTAAGATACCAACTGATATTTTTATATCAATATATTTCATATATTGGTCGCCATTCCAGTCCTCGTAAATGTATATTGTATATAGCTATAGATATTCTGTATATATGTCTAATTTATCTGCACCATCAACCTTAAGTCAAATTCCTTTAAAGTCCAAACCTACTTGGCAATAAACTTGACTGATTTTTGTTTTGTCATCTTTTTTTGTGTTTTTCCTCATTTGTCCCGGTGTGCATTTCTACAGTCCAAGCTTACTCTGATATACATGCTGCCGCTCGACAAGCTGTCTGCGTCTGTCATCTTATGGAAGGCAGCTGGGTTTATGCCCCACAGGTATTTCCATGTTTTAGCATGGTAGCACATCTTGTGATTACCATCCTAGTCTAGCTGCTAACATACCAGAATTAATATGACATAGTAGCGTGCTATCAGTTGCCGTGGCAACGGAAGTGGTGCGTTCCCCACATCACTACTTGTTCTCATACACATTTGAGTGATGTCACATCTAATGCATTGCATATATTGGCAATGGTTCATTAGTTTAAGTTAAAGTTGATTGATTTAAATGTTACCCTATGCTACTATGAAACCACTGTCACACATCTGATTTTTATATCAGTCATGCTTCTGGACATCCCCTCAGTGGATCACAATAGCAGAGTTAATGGACTAAAATATCAAAGACTCTACCTCAAGAACTCATTTGAACTCTTATGTTTACTGATTATTTCATGTATTCTGTTTATTCCAGTAGCTTGTAGTGTTCGCATATTTTATTAAACATAATATTACTGTGATGGGGGATTATTAGGTTTAATACAGCAACCATTTTTATCTTAAATGTGGTAGCAGCTTGTGTATAAGAGCTGAATCAACTTTTTTTTGAGCTAACAACTTGAATAGACAGAGACAAATATTTTCCTTGTGGTTAATGATTAATAACTCAGCTTGAATTATAAATCAAGTTATTGATATTTAGTGAAGATGAATACATCTTTGATTTTAAACAACCGGTCCAAAACATCCAGCCACAAAGGTTAACCATTAATAACCCCTGGTAATTGAGCAAATTATAAGTTATAGTCATTTAATTAATGATTATTACTTGGTTTTATCCTTGATTTGAATGACATGTTAAATAACTATAACTTCCAGTTCTAGTTAATATCATATTCATAATCTGCTGGTTAAATTACACAGACAAGGTGTCCTTTGATCAAATTGCAGCCATCATTGCAACATAACTATGAGCAACACTGCAAAGGGTTACATAGATGCATTATTTGAAAGAATATTTCAAATGCCACTAAGAGTCTTCGTATCCCCTTGGCTACACCTGATATAGTTAGGGCTGGGTACCGAACATCGGTTCTTTTATGGTACCGACCGAAATGCTTCGGTTCTACAGAGTATCGAAAAATGCCTCGTCTTTCGGTACCAAGTTTCGGTGATTGGCTGTAACACTTAACGTGATTGCGTCATCCAGGAAAAATACACAGGTGGTCCCGCCTACAGCCAGGGTTCATGTGTATCTGTTGTGAAGCGGTTGTGAGCGTCGTGGAACCCCTTTAAAATGCCCCCCAGGTCAAAAGTGTGGCTTCACTTTATTAAGAGTGATGCCAATAGTGCGCAATGCAATGCAATACATCGTGCACGGACACAATTTAAGAGCAGAAAGTTGCTCGGCGTTGACTGCAAGAAGAGCGGACTGCAGCCGGCGCGACCATCCTCCTCTCAGCAGCCCGTGGGCGGAGCAAAGCCAGAGCGGAGTGAATAATGCTGCTTTCAAACTGGACGCAGCAAGAGCAGCAAAATCACGTTTGCTGCTTCCTTTTTGCTGCTTGAACCAGCTTCTGACGCGCGGCTGAAGAAGCTTTGCTGCTCTGGCTGCGCGGTCGAAAAGTGGCTCTGAAGTGCGTTGGGCGGAGCTACTCTATCCTTTATTTGCCTTGCAGCTATATTTGCTGTGATCAGTGGGAATAAAGTAGTTTTATTATGTTTTTAAGTGGGAAAATCCACCTGAAAACTTAATCAGTGCAGTCAGTTCATCCTGCCTTCCAATATTTCTGTCGGAGCAGGTCAGACCCCCACATACCAGCAGTGCGGCTGTCAATAGGATCCCATTCAACGGGCTCGTTTGTCTCCTGAGAAAGCAGACATGTTAATTTCTCTAAGGGAAAACTGCTAAGTAAAAAGGTCCTCACAATGTAACATTAAATATTAGACACTGATTTTTTTTTTTTATGTAAGACGAAAAATGTAAATGGAAAAATCAGAGCTTAAAATAAAACTCAAGATTTGTACTTTTTTATGTTGTGTAATTTTCTTTTTCTTCGAATTGATATTATAAAACTGGTATCGAAAAAAGTATCGTTCAGGAACCGGTATCGAAGTGAAGGTATCGGTATTGGTACCGGCACCGAAAATTTTTGAACAATACCCAGCCCTAGATATAGTGCTTAGTGACAAAGACTGAGAAACCCACAGAAAGCATTGAGGATATGATGACGATGGAAAAAGAATGAAGAAAGTAAAGGTGGTTTGGTTGGCATCAGTATCCAGATTATGCTACATTCAACAATAGCATTGCATTTTTCTTAATAAAATCAGAAATATTCTAACTGAGATTAAAGTAAATGACACAGAAAGCTGCAAACCACAAGAACTAATCATGATTCACAGATATTTATACAAGTGTTTCATGAGGTTCAAAAACTAGAAAGCCTGAAGTGATCAAAAGGTAAACAGTCTGTCAACAGAGTGAGTTGTCATTTACTAATTTTCAATGGTTGCAAAGCAGAAAAAAACCTGCTCATAGAACCAATGCAAACATCCTCTCCCATGTCATCCTCTGACATGGGAATCGGCTCTGAGCTCGTCTGCCTGGCTGTGTGTTTCCTGGACGGCGCCGCCTTTTACAGTTGCTTTTTATACTCTGCTTCTGTCTCCTTGAACCCCAGGCAGCCTCAGCAGATGGCTGCTCACACTGAGCCTGGTTCTGCTGGAGGTTTAAAAAGGGAGTTTTTCCTCTCCACTGTCACTACAAGCATGCTTAGTGTGAGAGACTGCATTTGAGTCAATGAGTCGATGTAATCAACTGGTTTACCTTTGATAGAAATCTTTGAATAAATTTGACTGTATGATCTGGTGAACTGTAAAGTGCCATAAGAAGTGTTGTGAATTGGCGCTATATAAATAAACTGAATTGAAATTGAATTGAACTACTGACATATGCTTGGAAATGTACAAAAACAAATTTTCAAAGTATCTGATTAGAATGTGTTTCAATAAAAAAATGAGTTTTGTTTTTGATTTTGATAACAACTCAGATGTCCTTTAACACTGGATTAGCACACTTTACTTAAACGTAAAGATCTGGACTTTCTACACCCAGTCTGTGTCGGAATGTAAATATTGCTAAAGGGTTTTAATCCAATGCAAAGCAGTTAGATATCTAAAGCTTTCTGCAGACAGCATGATCCTAGCCGATTCGCTGTTACATTATACTCCGAGTGTATTTGACCAGGCCCATATTAAAGCTTTTATTATTTAACGTGTTTATGTAACAGTGTCATTTATGTTAGAGCAAAGCTGAGACAGTTTCTAGCTTGAAAACATTACCCATTCTGAGACGTGAGTTATCAAAATACAGAAAAGACTGCCATTAGCGATATTATTACAGCTCGCTTCACGTGTTACCAATTGCTACGATACAAAAAATGTTGTGGATGAATTTCACATCGCTCATACCACCAAACGTCACAGCTAACTTTCAGCTAACTAGCAAGCTAAACTTATACATACGAGTGTGAGCGTTGGAGCTGTCCACTTATTATACGTCATGTAATCAAATACGTGAGGCTAGAAAGGGGTAACATTAGCTCACCTCAAAAACTGCCCACAGAAAAGTGAAAGTGAGGTTGTAACGACTGCGTCGCTGTAGGAGCTCTGGCAGAGGTTTCAATGTAATGAGCGATGAAAAACACGCTGGTTAGAGTGGCGCGGCTTGTGCAGCTGGCGCATGCTGATGACGTAAAAGCATGCACGCATGATGATTCAAGGGATACTCGGTACTTAATAAACAATAAAGTAAGAGAAATTTCTTATAAAATTATTCATAATGTTTATCCTTTTAAAGCATTAAAAAAGGTATAAATGGAATTTGGACCCAATGTGTACTGTTTGTAAAAATTATGAAGAAAAGCTTATTCATCTTTTTTTTTGGGATTGCAATTATACAAAAATATTCTGGAGAGATATGTCGATTTTTTTTTTTCATCAAAAAAATCTTAACATTATTTTAACAGCTAAGGATATTTTGTTTGGGATAGAGAAATGGGAACTCGTCAAAACAGAACTTTTATTTGTTATACATTTTTTTTTCTATATTTATGGTAAATATCATATTCACACATCCAAATATTTACAACAAAAACTTAATTTACAGATTTTATTATCTTCTATTAATATCGATATGGAATCCTTAGAATTTAGTTCAAATGCTAAAGCCATGCAAGTTCTAACTGCCCTTAAAGAATTATTATAACCCTCGGGCATAGATTAGATTTGATTTTGACATTTTAAAATTATAATTCTGTTCTGTAAAGCCCTTTGTTGTTGTATATGTTTGTAATTATTAATGTTCTATATTGTTAATGTATGTTCCTTTTTTGCAAAAAAAGAAAAGAAAAGAAAAAAAATACTCGGTCATTTTAACTATTAATGGGACATGGAGGACCAACTCTTCCATATTAAAAAATAAATGCATAAATAAATAAATGCCCAATAAATAAATTAATAAATAAGCATTCAATCAATTGCTCCAAAAAATACAATAAACAAAATAATGTAGGAAGGAATTAAATTATACAGTGAGACATAAATGCATGAATCTCTTTTAATTAGCTTGTTTATTTATTCACCTTTGTAATAATTACCTTATTTATTATTGTACCTTATAATCTTACACTTTATTTATTTATTACTTATTTTTTTAAGTATTTATTTATGTAAATGTGATAATACTTTTTGTCTGTTTTATTCGTCCTTTATGTATTTTTTTACCTCATTTATTTCTTTCAACATTATTTACTTATTTTCTGCCCGTCATTTTTTTTTTTTCATTTCTGTATGCATTTCTGCCTCATAATGAGAAAGGGGTTGTGTCTTAGAGGGTCCATACTTAAATACTCAATAACTATAAAGTCATACAATTAAATGTGCAATTAATATATCAATCAGGCTCCATGACTACTTTTTACTCATTTTTATCCAAAATAAAATTTATAAAATTTATAAAATTTAAAACATTGTTATGAATTCAAATTATTCTTTGATAGTTGTATGCAGAATTTATAAAAAAAAAATGTGGATATTGTTGATTACAAAGTAAAAATTTTATAGACCTTTTTTATAGAACAATTTCGGTGATTACCTGTCTATTTAATAGTCCAATTGCACCATACCTGGTGTTAAAGCAAAATCTCTGACCAATCAAAAACTCTTACTGTAGAGAGCAATAGTAGCCTAGTAAACTAGCCCCACCCGCCAGCGGCCAAAAATCGTTTGTGCCTGCGAGTGGGTGTAGCCTCGATCAATGGCCCAGGCCCTAGAACTGGCGGGCCAATCACAACACAGAGATGTGTTTTGAATTTCTGGATGCAAAGCGGGCGGGGTTTTGAGGGTGAGATGACAAAGTTACACGAAAAAGCATATTAAGGAAGAGGGCAACAACTATTGAACAGTTCTCGTTTGACTCAGCTTTGGTATCAGTTTTGGAAGGATTAGACTTGGGGTTTTCGTTGAAACGTGAGCAGGAATAGGCTCTACGTTCATTCATTTTTACGAAGGATGTATTCACCGCTTTACCAACAGGCTGTTTGTTTACACTCCCCCACCAGCTTTCTGTCGCGCTTACTACGTCACAGTCAGTTGTGCTCATTGGTCAGAGTGTTGGCCAATAGGCACAGATATGGTTTGAAAAATAACGGGTTGTTCTCATCAACAATCTTCCGATGTCTCATTCATCGGGGCCAGACTAAATTACATATTTAGTCTGGTTTATCAGGCTAGAACAAAAGCATTTTACTGCTGATATGTCCCAAAGACAAGCAAGAAGAATGGAGGAGTTTAAATATCTTGGGGTCTTGTCACAAATGAGGGGAAGATGGAGCGGGAGGTCGACAGGCGGATCTTTGCAGCCTCTGCTGTGAAGCGAGCGCTGTACCGGTCTGTTGTGGTAAAGAGAGAAAATTTTCAAATATCAGTATATTTCTGTGTAATTTTCAGAATAGTTTTAATGAACCTTGTATCTTTCAGAAAGCACCTGTAAAGAACTTCAGCATAAAAATGGCACAAAAACAGTTATTGTGATCATTATTTCTTATTTAAGAAACAAACCAAATAAAAAACAGAAGTGTCTCAATTCTGCCCTGGGATGGACTAGCAACCTGTCCAGGGTGTACCCCGCCTCTCACCTGTAGACAGCTGGAGATGGGCATCAGCATCCCTCGTGATCCCAGCTAGAATTAAGCATGTCAGAAAATGGATGGATGGATGGAGTTTCTCAATTCTCCCCACATTTTACTATGGAATAGATGTTTAAGGTTGAATCAATTACTACAATGATAAACTGCAACTCTGATTTGAGATCTCATCCTACTGAACTTGGTCACATGGCAACAACTCACAGCTAGATAAAATGTATAAACTACAAATAATATCGGCCCTGAGTTTCTCACATTTGTGGAACTTCATACAAATATCCAAATCATTAGTGTCCAAATGCCATATTGATAATTGCATTTCAAAAAAGGAAAACAGCAACAGCAGATTACAAAGCAAAGCTGAACCAAAAGAAAAAAAGTAACTAGCAGCTTCCTCGAAATGTTGTTAAAAAGTACACTATTTGACTTTGAAATGTACAGGAGTGAAAGTTATAAACACTCCCTCTAAGTATTACTCAAGTAAAGTAAAGATACTTAAAAAAGTACTTAAGTACAGTAATCAAGTAAATTTACTTTGTAAGTAAGTAAGTAAGTAAGTAAACTTTATTTCTATAGCACTTTTCACAGACCAGGGTCACAAAGTGCTGCACAGATTTATAAAAAAGTTTATATAAATTAAAACAACATACAGAAACAGTAAACACAGTATTAAACTAAAAAACAAGTTTAAAAAAGTGGGTCTTTAGTTGTTTCTTAAAAGTGTCTATACAAACTTTCTATTGGGTTTTCGTGGGGAAAGGGGTTCAAAGCTGTTTCAAAGAGTCCTGCACCTCCTTGCTGTGATTGCAGCTCATTTATTACAACATGGAACTATCAAAATGCCAGGTTTTCCTAGGTCACCATTCCTGAAAATGTTCACTCTTAGTTGACATAATGTCAAAGTTTATTTATCACAACAATTTGTCACAGAGAATTCTGCAACACTACAGGTTATCTTTCTAGAGTGAGGGAATTAGGGGGTTGGTAATGCATTTAAAGTGACCAGTTTATCATAAGTTTTTCATTTGAAATCTTGTTATTCTTCATAAGTTTAAGTTGTATTAATACATTTGTTTCTGCATCCCCTTGTTCATTGTTCCCTTTAATTGTTTTTTTATACAGGCCACTGTATTAACATTAGCCTAACATTTGCTATGACCTGGCACAGAAAAAGAATCCACTGATTTATCATTACGATCATTGTTATTATTTACAGAACTAATCTGTGCCTTTGTCATTTCTGTGGAAATTGTTAGAGAAGCCTAAAATATGCAAGACATAAATACTTACATGGACAGAATACTGAATGTTATTGGACAGGATGAAGGGTTTAGCACACTCTGTTTCCAGACCATTAACTGTGATCTCTTGAAACATACACCGAGAGGAGGAGCTTCAAAGCAGATCCTGGATCTCTTATCTCCTGCTCTAAAAACCCTGTGTCAATGCACACCTTTTTCTGTGGATTTAGAATTGGTAACTTTTAGGGGCATCCACTCAGATGTCCATCCTTGATGGTAAAGAGGACCACACTCTAAACTATGTTCAAAAGTTTAGTAAAGCATGCAGCCTACTTTTTGTATAAATATTCTGTACTTGATGCATCATTCAAACCTCACTAGTGACATCTGCTGTTGGACAGAGGCTGTAAAAGACTTCATACTTCAACTATTAAAACAGGGCAGTGTTTGCAAATGAGAATATTTTTTCCAAACCCATGTATTATTTCTATTCCATTTTCAAAGCAAAACGCTGCTAATATGCTGATGTTTGCGGTAATAGTTTTCTCCAATGATTTCTGTAATGAACTGATTTGATTAGAAAGATGCGCTGTAAGCTTTGTGTTTGACCGAAGAGTCAAACAGCACTAGTAAAGTCACTATTTATATCATGGCCTCATATAAGAGACCTGTATCTGTACTTGTTCTGTCAGATCTCAGTGCTGCATTTGATACAGTTGATCTTAAGATTTTTTTTAAAAAGACTTAAACATTTAATTTGAATTAAGGAGTCAGCTCTAGGATGTTTAGATTCTATTTCTCTGACACAATTCAGTTTGTCAATGTTAATTTTTTTTATTTTTTTTTTATTTTGATTTTGATATACTCTAATAATCCCAGAGGGAAATTACTTCTCTGCATTTAACCCATCCCCTTGGGGAGCAGTGAGCTGCCATTGTGAGGAGCAGTGTGAGGTTAAGGGTCTTGCTCAGGGACCCAGAGTGGCAGTCTGTGGGAGTGGGGGATCAAACTCACAATCTCAGGATTGAAAGCCCTATGCCCTAACCACTAGGCTGCCACTCCCCTTGATGAATTCTCTTCAAGCTCGAGGGTTACCTGTGGAGTACCACAGAGATCAGTGCTAGGGCCAATGGTCTTTACTACAGTGAGGAAAATAAGTATTTAAACATCCTGCTATTTTATAGCTAAAAATCGTTTTTTGGATTTTTTTTTTTTTTTTTTTTTTTAGATTATGTCTCTCACAGTGGACCTGCACCTACGATGGACAATATCAGACCCTTTCATGATTTCTCATTGAGAGAACTTGCAAAATAGCAGCGTCTTCAAATAATTATTCTCCTTACTGTATATATATGCTCCTAATTAGTGGAATTATTAGACAACATGGGATTCATTTCCACTTTTATGCTGATCATACTTAGATATATCTGTCTATAAATCCAGATGAAGCTAACCCATTAAATATTTTAAAGGCATGTCTTGAAGATATAAAAATCTGGATGACTATTAACTTTCTGCTCCTGAATGCAGACAAAACAGAATTTATTTGGCTTTGAACCAGAGTCTTTGAAAAAAAGGCTGATTAGTCAGTCACTTCATTAGGATGGGATTAAATTGATCACAGAAAATAAAGTTGTTGTTTTTTTTATCAAGACCTGTCATTTAAATCCAAAATCAAAGAGGTTTCTAGAATTTCCTTCTTTGCATCTGCTTTCATCAATATTGCAAAAATTAGAAATATCCTGTCCAGGGTTGAAGCTGAGAAACTAGTCCATGCGCTTGTTTCCTCAAGGCTGGACTAATGTAATTCTTTACTATCAGGAAGTCCACAAACTATAGATAAAACCCTTCAGCTGATCCAAAATGCTGCAGCCAGAGTTCTGATGAAAATTAAACATAGAGATCATATCTCTCTGGCTTCTCTTCTTTGGCTTCCTGTTAAATCAAAAATAGGATTCAAAAATCCTCTTTTTAACCAATCTGACTGTATGATCTGGTTGAATTGTCTCTTTAAAGTGGGTTGAGATGACACGTGTTGTGAATTGGTGCTATATAAATAAACTTAAGTAAATTTATTTGAATTCTATACTGTATGAGATCATGCTCAATGGCGCAGTGGGTTCTGGGTTTGATTCCCGGCCTGGGGTCTTTCTGCATGGAGTTAGCATGTTCTCCCTGAGCATGCGTGGGTTCTCTCCGGGTACCCGGCTTCCTCCCACAGTCCAAACAAATGACTGTTAGGTTAATAGGCTTCTCTACAGTCCCCTTAGGTGTGAGTGTGTGTGTGAATAGTTGTTTGTCCTGTTTGTCTCTGTGTTGCCCTGCGATGGACTGGCGACCTGTCCAGGGTGTACCCTCTTGCCCATTGACTGCTGGAGATAGGCACCAGCACCCCTCGTGACGCCAGGTGGGATAAGCGTGCTAGAAAATAGATGGATGGATGTATCAGCATTATAATAATTATATTACCAATGATCACAATCACGTGTAGATAACTACAACATTTAGTTTGTTCTAGTGTAGAGCTTTCCCACAAGCTCAAAGTGGACACCAATGCATTGCTAACCTTTAATCTGAGTATAATAATACATCCAATGGCCAAATTTGTGTTCACAAAAAAGAAAATTCATATTGGTTTCCCATCACTCACATCACAATCAGCACTTCAAACAACAGCCACTCTATGTGAAAATCTAGGGGAGGACAGAATAAAAAATAAAATAATGGTAGTCTCTGCAAATTTTTTCTTGAAAATATAAAAAGAGGAGCGTAGTTTGGCTAGTCAAAATTTCTTAATCGCTCTAACAGTGCATCTGACTAATCTAGCTGTAAAGGTAGGTAGGTAAAAGGCTCATTTAGTTCAACAGAAAGACAGCCTCTGAACAGGATGAGTGCAGTGTTCAGACAAGTTAGCTGGTATCTGATCAATATAAAGTTTTTTTATTTTTTTTATTCAAACCTGGGAATTTTTCTTATCATGATAGAAAATTAGTCTAGGCAATGGAAAAAAATTTAAGTAAATGTCAAGGAAATAACCGTTCACAAGAAAAACCTACCAGGAAGCATAACGTGGCTGACAGTTGACTATTAAATATTAGTGCACAAAACAAGGCAATTATAAACCAGTTATAGTTGCCTCAAGACAGGTCTCTTTCTGTTTCTTAACAGCGCAGCTAAAATACAGCATCTGCAAAGCTATACAGGCAGACAGAGAGAGAGAGATAGATAGATAGATAGATAGATAGATAGA